TCCTTCCTTCCTTCCTTCCTTCCTTCCTTCCTTCTTCCTTCTTCCTTCTTCCTTCTTCCTTTCCTTCTTTCCAATGAACTGCACAGAATAGATTTGCAAAAAGGGAGACATTCAGAAGAAACGTGCTGTGCACAGAAATTCAGCATATTTTTTTTCCACTCCATCTGACAAAAAATCATTTGGTTTCTAACTTTCTGGTGAAGGAGGTGAAAACTTTGGATAATTTTTCCTGGGAGGAGCGATGCATTCTTGTACTTCTGTGCAAATGGCTGTGTGTGTGTGTATGTGTGTGAATGTCCTGTCTCTTGCTGCATCATCCTTTCCCATCCAGGGAAGGAGAAGAGAGAAATTTGCGCAGGAACCTTTTTCAATAATGGTGTTGATGCCATTGCTGAGGGAGGATCCTGCCTTGGGGAAATTTTTGGAGAATATCTCCTTCCCTGGAGCATTGAGGAGAAATTGTCCACTCAGTTTCTCTGTTCACAAGCTTGATGGAGAGTTTTAAAGGATCATTTATGCCCACTCTGGAAAAAAAAAATTGGACAGATGGATGAGAAACCAGACATACAGAAACTGATATTCTTTCCCCTAGAATCTCAGAGGGATTTATCAACAGTATCCCAGTTAAAGCAGAGCTTCAGAAAAAATGGGCAAGTTGTACAGCCTGAAATGGAGAAAATGAAACGAGAAGGACAAGCTGCAGAACCCAACCGTAAACCGCAGGACTGGAAGAACCCTGGCTGGATACAGAAATGGAGCAGAAGGCACCAGAAGGCTCCAGATACAGAGAAGGGGAGTGAAAATCAGCCAAGGTCCACAGGAAGGGCAAGAAAGGCAGGACCTCAGAGGGGTTCCTCTGATGGGCTGAAGACCACGTGTTCTCCCAAGATTGAAAACGCGTCTGCTGATGCTCGGGCGATGGGCACGAGAGAGTCCTCCAGACGCTGCAAGGGAAGGTCGAGTGGATCTCCTCTGAGAAGTGACACTTCTGGGAAAGAATGCCAACTCACAGCCAGGCTGGCAGAGGGCAGGAAGAAGCCGTACAGTCCCGAACAGGTCCGTGAATTTATGGATCAGAAGGCAGCTGAGAGACATAGGCGGATCCAAGAAGAGAGAAGGACCTCGAAGAAAGCCCACGAAGAGAGAAACAAGAAACTTCAAGAAGTCTACCGAAAACAGAGAGAAGCAGTCAACAGAAAAGGCCATTGTGTCAAGCGACTGAGTGAAGATGTGACTTGCAAGCATAATCTTGATTCGGTAAGGACATCACGGTCAGAAAGAAGTGATAAATGAGGGAGAGCTTTGTTGGAAAGTCCCGTGCTAAGATTGAGTCCCATGTGGGGTTTGCGTGCTATCTCCGAAGCAGCAGCCCGGATCAGCTGTTTGCATAAGATGCTAAACCATGGTTAACTGAACTATGGCTTACCAAATTAATCCAGTTGGCTGCATTCACAGGAAATGACGAGATTAGGCGCAAAGGTTCCAACTGTGTTTAGCCTACTGTGTTGTATGAACCCATCTGATACGTTTCAGGCAGGGAAAATAATCTGTCTCTGGGTTGGATTGGACTGATAATCCTTCCTTGGGCCATTATACTTCTCTGATCTGTGGAAGAGGTACTGAACATGCGTTCAGGAGCGGAAAAGAAACTTCGGTTGTCCATCTGTCCAGGCCAGATAATGCTCCAACTTCATAAGCCTACATAATGGCCATAGTAGCCTGTTATAATAAGCCATGGTTTGTTTTAATCATGGTTTGCTGAGTAAGGCATAATCGCTGGGTTCCCTTGTAACATTAAACCATGATTTACTGGTTACAATGGCTGGGTGTGAACAGTCTAAATCAAAAGCAAGGGACCTCCTTAGGGTTTATAAATTGGGTCAACCTAGTTTAACCTCTCATACCCCCAAATGGTAGGAGGGATGAACAGACAGACTAGCCTCTTCCTGTTTCCCCTGAAGGTGGCTTTAAATGATTTTATACCACTATAAAACAACCCTGTCCAGCCTCCACTAGCCCTCCAGATGTTTGGCCTTCAACCCCCAGAATTCTCAGCAATGGTTATGCCAGAGGGGCCATGCTGGGGGGTGAAGGCCACACATCTGTCCCAGGTTGGGGGAAGCTAATATAAAATAATTCTGTGATTTTCAGACGCTGTTTTAAATTTTAGAAATACACAGGTGGGCCACATCCAGGAAGAGACGACACGGAATGGGTTCATCGAGTATCACAGGCTCTGCTAAGGAATGAGTCAAAATTCAACAGGTACATGACAGTTATTCCCAAGTTGCATAAGTGTGCATAGTTGTGGCAGAGGTTTATAAGTATTATTTTACTCAAACCACCACTGTTTTCTACGTATGTTTCTGGGTTCATTACATTACTGCTTCTTCTTCTTGAAAGTGACTTGCAAACCAGCTTAGTGAAAAAGTGACTGACAATTTAATAACTGGCAAAGAGGATCTGTAGGATTGTCAAAGGGAAGAGGAAGGGAGTTTATTCTCTACAGGTAGTCATCGTTTAGCAACTGCTTCATTTAATGACTGTTCACAGTTATGACGGTGATGAAACAGTAACTTTAGAACCAATCCTTGCGTTTACAACCTTTTCAGGTATGTAAAGCAAAAGAAAGCTGAAGTAGATCATAAGCATAGTTGTGGTTTCACTTAGTGACCACTTCACTTAATAACCAAGTTACCGGTCCCAATTGTGGTCACTAAATGAGGACTATCTGCATTGCCCCAGGGGGCCGGACCAGAACCAGCTACAAGGAAGGAGGTTTGCTTAGACAGGAACTCCCTAACTGTACAACCTGTCAGCCAGTGGAACAGATTGCCACATGAAGTGGTAAGTTCTCCTTCAATGGAGATCTTCAAACCATCTGTTGAAGATGCTGTACTGGATCCTGCTCTGAGAAGGGGGTTGGACTAAATGACCTTCCAGACCCATTCCGTCTCTGTGATTCAGGTGGTGCAATCCTACGGATACTGTTAGGACTATTTCATTGGATTTATTTTATACCCTAATAGTTCAATAAAGAGACTTGATGTGGTTTTTTCTGTGGAATTCCTTTGTTATTCCATTAGTGAGCTGGACCCAAGGATGGCCAAAACAGGACAAGTGACCCCAATGCTGGGATTCTGTCCCTCCACGGGCCCTGAAGGTCAGCTGAGGAGCCCTCTGAAACTCAAGCACTTGGACATCTCCTCCCCTCAGGCAAGCCACCACTCACCAAGCCCTCTTCTTCCCTGGAGAGGGGATGTTATTGGCATGGGGACACCATTCTCCTCAGACATCTCTACCCCCTCTTCTTACAGAAGTAAGCAAGAGAGAGTAAGGGCCATTCACAACTTAGCTAAGGACCTCAGTGGGAGGCTGGGGAGAGAAATGGAGAGGTTACAAGCAACCAAGGCTTCAAGGGATCAAGGATGTCCACCTGGAACTCCATCTGTTCCCGAGAGGTCTCAGATGACTACTCCACCTGGAGCTCCTCATGAGAAGTTTGATGCCCCAGAAAATGCAGAGGCCATTTGGGGTTCAAGACCTTCATTGAGTCCACCAATGTGTCCTCAAGCCAAAGGAGAGCGGGCTTGTCTCGAGAAAGGGCTAGGAATGGTCAAGGAGAGGATCATCCAACATCTTCTGCCAGTTGACGGAGATGGCCTTGAAGTGATGCAGATGGACTCGCTTGAGAGAACGCAAGGCACGACTGAGACAAAAAGGCTGAACGGAGGTTGGTAGAGGTGCTACTGTATTGTCCTTCCTTGTTTTAGCAAACCAGATATTACTGTGATGTTCTGCATTTGTTTATTTATGCGCAGTAACTTGCCAGAATCTCTTGCAAATTAATGTGGCCGTTATTGTCTTATGACTTGCTTGCTTTATTTATTTATTTCATCATTTTATAGGCAATCCCAGTCAAAAGATTCCAAGCGGATTACGCTACACTAAAAATGATAAAATCCAATAATAGGAATAAGAATAATGTACTATTAAGCCCAATATTATCTAACGTAGATTGGCAAATTAAGAGGGTTTTTTTTGAGGGACTGTTCATTGAAATGGATGGTTCCTGTTCTCCATTCAGCCCATTTTATTGCAAGGTAGCACAAGGTTGGGAATAGCCAAATTATTCCTCACATATTCACTTTTCTGTAAAATGTCTTAATCCACAACAGGGCAATGCTTTCATTAGCTCAGCCGAAGATTTATACAAGTTTAATTTGACCTGAGACTCAGGTTGGCCCAACAAACATTTTCCTCTGGTGTTAATTATGGATTTTTCTTCTGGCTAGGCAGCTTTCCTTTCATTATTATTTACTTGCTTCTAACTCTATTTTTTTCCTGTTTGGAAAGAAACCATTAACATTATAGACAAACAGAGAAGGAGCAAAAAGAGTTGTTCCCCTGCAAGAGAAAAACTGATCTTCAGATGACAAAAGCTCGCTAAATAAAGTGCTATGAACTAAATTCTGAACCAATAAACAGGAATGTTTCAGTTAACACTATAAAGGAGCCTGGCAGAATGAGATTTCAATAACTAACCAAATCACATATGTGTTAAAAAGCTCAAGTGTGAAAGTATAGTACCTAATCAAATTTCCTGGACAAATACACCCATTTTTACTTCTTTTGTTTTACTATGGTTTCCCTTAAAAGTTCTGTAATGGTCTGTGGGAAAGACCTTGGGAGAGACGGAGAAGAGTCACAGCCAGGGAATGGTCAGATAAGAGGCAGCTGAGTCCACAGCTGGATAGTGGGCAGGGCAGGAGACTCAGAAGGGACCTTCCCTAGTTTCTTGGGCTGTAAAGGAGGTGAGGGGGGGGGGGGGGAATTGGACAATTGTACTTTCAGACTTGCAAGATTCTGTCATTATAGCTTTACCACAAAGTAGAACTAGCTCATCTGGTCATGTTTCCTGTCTGGTCTACCTCATAAGACTGACAAGTTCCTTCTTTCTTGGACTTCTTGCTTCAGTTAGATGTAATACAGGTATTCCTCGTCTTATGACCACAATTGGCACTGGAACTTCCATCACTAAGCATTAAGTGAGTCATGTCATGCCTGATTTTACAACCTTTTTGCTGTGGTCGTTAAGTGACTCCAGCTTCCCCCATTGACTTTGCTTGTTGGAAGCCAACTGGGAAGGTTGCAGATGATGATCATGTGTCCCCAGGACACTGCGATCATTGTAAATACATGCCAGTTGCCAAGCGCCCGAATTTTGATCCTGCGTCTGCGGGGACGCTGCAATGGTCATAAGTGCGAGGACCCATCATAAGTCACTTTTTTCAGCACTGTCATAACTTTGAACAGTCATAAATGAATGGTCGTAAGACGAGGACTACCTGTATAGACTTAAATAGCAGGAAAGATGTGAAATCTCTATTGGGCTGAATGCAGAGTGAAATTTCTTCCATGTGGAATTCAAGGTACATAAAATTGGCATCTGATGGAGAAAGATGATACTCTTCTATAACAAGTCACCTTTCTATATGCAGAGAATTTCTCTTCTCAGCCATCTTACTAGCCTTCACTGATTTATGCAGGTCATTCCCTTGTAAGTTTGGCATTGGTTTCTGCAGACAGGGGGTCACAAAAGTCAAGACGGCAGCCACAGCCATGTGATCAAAGCCCCACCCTCACATGTAAAAAAGGTGGGATTTCCATCACAGAGTTGTGGCTGCCATCTTGACTTTTGTGACCCCCCTGCAGATGCCTCTGACCCTTGGAGTAAACATAGTCTCTAGTGAAAGAGTGGGGAACCCCAGTCACCGAAAGGAGGTGGTTGTTACCCCCAGAGCAATAGGGCAGCAAGAAGCATCCGGTCTCCCTAGATGTCTTGTTGCTAATCCCGGCTAGGACATGTGGGTGCTCTGGAGGAGAAAGTCAGGGAGAGAAAACGCCCGTGGAAAGAACGTGGAATGGAAATGCTGATTTAACTCCCCAGCCAGATCCGTCCTCCTCCTGCCTCACTTCTGTTGTTCTTCCCAAGGTGGTGCTTCCAAGGTGGGATTTGGGGAGAAGGACCCTTCTGCGCCACCGGCCCGCGCCTTCTCTGGAGGGTAAGCCCCCCGTCCTTGGACCTCTTTGCCCCCCATGGAGCTTCCCAGGGACCTGCCCATAGTGGTGTCCTCAAGGGATGGCTGAAAGTCAGCAGAGAGGCCATGATGCGCCATGGAAGCTCCGTCCGTTTTCATCAGAGCTGTGACTGCACCGTCATGGATGCCATCTTGACTTTTCTGACCACTCCCTGTGAACCCTCCGGAGCACCTTCCATTTCAGTGCCCTGGCTGGAAGCTTGTTCTTCCCCTGCTCCCCGTGACTTCATTTTTCTATATCTATAAATTTTATTGAACGTTTTAAAGAGAACATAAAACTTTTCAAGCTTTAGAGAGAGCATAAAAACTAAGGCAAACTATTCGTGGTTAGAAAGAAAGAAAAGGAAGAAAGAAAGAAAGAAAAGCGCAGAAAGAAAAGGGAAAAAGAAATAGAAAGAAGCTTCCAATTTCCTTCGCAGCAAATATAAGTACGATTACAAAATTATCTCTTACTCTATCCAATTTTTTTTCCTAATTATCAAAACCACAAATCATAAGTGGGGGCTTCTGGGAGTTGAAGTCCACACATCTTAGAGTTGCTAAGGCTGAGAAACACTACCTTAACCACTACACCAGACTGCCTCTGTGATTTTTTTCCCCTTTACGCTCTAGTTTGAGACTTTCAGAAATCTTCCGGGTCCCCAAAAGCACCATGGGAAGATTTCCCCTCTGGGAAACAGAGTCAGGCCGGCCAAAGCAGCATTGCAGTTTTGCGATGGAAGCCCCGCCTCTTTTCTATGGGCATCGCAACATTGCACCGCCCACCCTGAAGGGGCGGAGCTTGTGGGGCAGTGCTGCAATGCTGCTTCTGTCATTCGGACTACACTTAGGGAATTCTGGGAAAATTGGAAAAGAGGCTAAATACAAAACCGCTCCACATATGTGCCAATTTGTTTGGAAAGCATTGCGAAGCCAGCTTTTCTCTTTCCTTCAGCTGACTAGTGGCGGGAGGGAGACAGAATAGTTTTTCTGCCCAGAACTAGGATTGTATTAAACTTGGTTATTTTTAAATCCCATTTATACGAAGCCAGCATTTTCAGCTACTTTGCGATTGCTTAGGAAGAGGGCTAAGGAAAGAAATTGAGAGTCTAGCGGAGAGTGAAAAATAAGGAAATTGCTATGGAAGTTGTTGATTTTCGCCTACTGGAAGCCCCGGAAGGCCACTCATGAATGTTGTTGAATGGTGTTTGGGGTGTCATAAAATCCCACTTATTCCATGGGGTATACTGTAAATCAGGATCCCATAATTTAATTTATTGATTAAGGCTTAAATGTTGCTTCAGCCAGCAGCAGCTCTGAGCAGGTCGCATTCGTCCTTCCAAAAATCAGATTGAGGTGCAAGGAATTTCCTGCTCAAAACTCAACACAATGCAGTGGCGCAGGTGCCCACAGGATGGGGCTGTTCACCCGCTCAACGGGCACCGCTGTTCCAAAGGAAGGTGCCCAAGATTGTTCAGACAAATCTCAGTTGAGCTGTTCTCGGCCAGAAACGGTGGCCTTCTGATATTTCTCAACTACGAATCCCAGCAGCCCTAACCCAACCCAGATGGTACCCCGAGATGTTGGAACTGTAATTTAGCAACATCTTGGAGGCCATGAGCTCCAGGTTGTGAAAGGTTGAGACCTTCCAGGCAGGAAGCGTGAGCTCTGGGGATTTGAGGGGTGGGCTGGAGGGCTAGAGGGGTTAGATTTTGTTGTGGTTGCTCCTCGGCCTCCAGGCGTTGGCTAGTTGGGAAGGAATGGAGCCAACCCCAAAAGCATCCAACGGAGCCCCCTGTCCCAACACTGTTTGGGGCGTAGAAGCCACCTTAGATGGACCTTAGTGCTCTCTAGGCTGGTGGTGGATGGTTGAGAATGATGGGAGTTGGAATCCAACACTTCTAGAAGGCCCCGGATGGAGTAGGCTGATGGGTTGATAGGCAACTGGGTAACCATGGTTACAGAGGGATGCCTCTGGCCCAGGAGAAGGCATCCGTGGTTACTATGGCAACAGGAACATGGCATCACTTCTCTGCTAGTTCAGACTAAGTTTGGACAGGAGTGTCTGCTGGGGGGTCAAAAAAGTCAAGATGGCAGCCTCAACCATGTGATCAAAGCTCCTCCTCCTTTTTACATATGATGCATGTAAAAAGGGGTGGAGTTTTGATCACCTGCTGACTGCCACCACCTTACACATTATTATTATTATTAATGTAGGTTTTAATTTTTGCATTGTGTTTTATTGGTTTTAATCCTCAGTGCCCTGCCAGAGTCACTGTTGTGAGATGAGCAGCTCTATAACTTGTTTAAATCATTCGATCAATGAATTAATATTATTAATATTATTTTTGGATGGATCACAAAAATGAACAAATAAATAAAAACAGCAAACCGTAGAATAAATGGGCAACCAGTAAACAGTGTAAAAAAGGAAAAGAAATGCCAATTTTTAAAAAAGACACATCATTATGATGCATTATTTTTATCTGAAGGCTCATGCACATTTTTATGATCCATTATTTTTGTTAGATTTTTTTTTTCTGGGTGGACCTTCATTTTCTGCCCACAACAACATTCCTGTGAGGTAGGCCGAGGCCAAAAGGACTGCCCCAACGTCACCCAGGGAGTTTCTGTGGCTAACAGTGGTTTGCACCCCTCCAAAACTTCCAGTTCCTACTTCTGGATTTTTACTGAAAGCAGCAGAACATCCACTACGAATCTCCGTCCTTCCAAGTATCTGTTTCTTCAAATATTACACTGAGATCTCTTAAAACCTGCACGGAGATGACACTTTCCTGGGGGTAAGAGGAGTCGATGAAGAAATCACCTTTTTGCTTCAATTAACATTTTTCTCTCGCGGTCACCCTCCCCTGCTTCTGTGCCAAGCTTGTTTAACCATGGTTGACTTGATAAACCATCATGGGCTGGGTTTCTACAGCAGGCTGCGCCCAAACTAAATAAGCCACTGTGTTGTCTTGAACCAAGCTGCTGTTTCGCTTCCCTCCTTCTGTTTTCTTCCCACCAAACTTGCTATGGCATGAAGGTTTCTCATGACCACAACTCCCATGGTCCCCTTCGAACGACCTGGCCTGCTCCTGAGAACCTCCTTTGCGTAAAAATGGAGATATTAAGCTATACCACTCCTTTGGCAGTAATTCCTCGGCTGGGAGAATCTGTTTAAGCATATGGCAGAGATGGAACTGAAGTCCCTTGATTATCTTTACGAGCACCCCGCTAAATCCCCGCTGATCCCTTTTCTGCTCAATCCGAACAAGCGATTAACCAATTGGATCCCGAAGATGTATTTACTGCAGTTGTTTTCACTCGCTTTTGTGCGTGCAGGATGCGAAAAGTGGAGCTGTCGGCGTTTCGGCTTTGGGACAAAGAGGATGCATAAAATATTGGGTTGGACTGTCCGTTTCACCAAATG